TTTAACATAATTATGAGCTCAGAAGCCCTTTTCGGGGGGTTTTGTTGTATGGGGGCTAGGTGAAATAATGTACCGATTTTAACCATTTTCAATAGGCTTCATCCTTGGGCCAAAAAAAAGCGTGTGTGCCAACAACGACAAGTCATCAAGACTTGTATAAAACTTAGTTGTGCCGTTTTTTATCGATATACCGGTATATTTAACATAATTATGAGCTCAGAAGCCCTTTTCGGGGGGTTCTGTTGTATCGGGGCTAGGTGAAATAATGTACCGATTTTAACCATTTTCAATAGGCTTCGTCCTTGTGTGTGTGCCAAATTTCATCCAATTATCTTGAAAATTGCGACCTATACCTTGCGCGCAAAGTTTGCATGGACAGCCAGACAGACGGACGGACATAGCTTAATCGACTCAGAAAACGATTCTAAGCCGATTGGTATAGGTGGGTTATTACGAATATTTTTGTATGTTACAAACATCAGCACAAACCCAATATACCCTCCCCACTAAAGTGGTGTAGGGTATAAAAATGGAACAAGTCCGTCAAGGCACCTTCAAGCACCTACAGAACGCCTAAAAGGAGTCAATTAATTACCCAGGTTATAGGTATATTAATACTACAGATCCCAATTCATATAAAAAGCCAAAAAGAATTAGTGATTATTATTTATTATAATAATCTAGCCCGTTATGATTTTTTAAGAATGCCAAATGTTTGCTGTCTTTGTCATCACTCCTAGATGAAAGCCCTCATCTTGGTGTTATTGCAATCCTGGGAAAAAGAGACTATAAACTGCTGATGATCAAATGTATCCCCGGCCTTTACTTGGAATGATTTGACATGGGGTCGAACCAGAGAACTACATAATCTGGTACCACGGAACGGTAGCCCACAGGGCAGAGTTTCGGACCTTGTTTTGTCCTGTTTATTGGAAAGGTTCGCGGGAAGAGAATACTGTTTAAAATACTGATGTACGGTAAGGTCTATAATTCTAATCGATGCTGTTGCCGAGACAACAGATAACCCGCAGAGGAGAGACTGGGTGTCAAGTGTTTTTATAATACAGGATGGATGTAGGGGTATGCGGACCTTAGCCACCCGTATACCTAGAGTAAGTGTGTCGGATGAAGAGTTATGGGTTGAATAGTGATGGATATAAGGTATCTTACAAAAAGAGATACCATTAAATTGACAAAATCAATATATGTAATAAAAAGGACCTATAGAGTGCCTATTAATTATCCAGGTAGTCGGCATATTAATGTTACAGATCAGAATCCATCAAAATCATCAACATTTTTATATAATTATGACTTTAGAAATTTGTGGAGCGAATAAGGAACACATACATACATCTGGACATTTAAAGGTTTATTATATAATTCTCTCTTTTAAATTGTGACTATGAATTTTGAACATTTAAACGCTTTAAAGAAAATGTATCAAACTTACAAATCAATTTAATATTCATACATCTCTGTTAAGTTGACCCAAAATTTTTCTCGATGATATTTCAAAGCAGATCAAATAAAGACATTGGGATGTTTAAACCAACCACCACATTTTAATTCATAACTATTGTTGATCTAAATTTATATCATTGAAAATATTTTATTAAGAAGGTGAAACACAAATTGTAAAATAATTTCAATTCTTCATCTAAGCAAAACAAATATACAATTTCTACTATAAAAGGAATAAGTAGAATTAAAACAAAATTTAATTTTCATAGAATTTGAATTATAACTTCTCTTATATTTCTTCTTTTTACTCTTCAACAGAAATTTGTATAATTTAAATTACAACTCTGGGTTTCAAGTACATCCTTGGATTTATGCAAATAGTGTTGCCACGTTTTTAGCTTTAAACTATAATTTCATTTTTTGTTGAATTTTAGTATTTTTTTTTTTTTTCTTGTTTCACCACTCGTTTATATTGGGTTAACAATTTCATCATCATTTATAAAAGCAGTACAACAAAAAAAAAAAAAAATAAAATAAAAATGAAAAAATGGAAAACAAAAAATACCAACAACTACTACAAAAACGTAAAACACTGTAAGTGCTATAATCAACCAACGTGGGTTCGTTATAAAGTTGACTTAAACAGGGTGCTAAATTAAATGAATGGAATTTTTTTATAACTTGAAACTTACAACTGTCAGTTTGAAATGCTCCTTTTGTAGAGTACATAGTAGAAAATTGTACTATATGTACAATGTATAGTAAGAATCTCGGAAAAATCGTACAACTGATAACGCTGTGTTTAGACATTCATAGTCAGCTTTTGCGGGTTTCCTTATTTTGACAAAATTTACGTAAATATTTGTGAAATTATTTTTGAAGTTGATCGAATTTTATATTCAGAACAGTCTTTAACTCGAAGTTTTTTCAATACATATTTCCGACAATTTTGAAGTTTGTATTGTCTCTGAAATGATTTTTGATTATATTTTAAGGAACAAGACTTTAAATACTTTTTTAAAAGTATTTCTAAGTTTTTTCTTAAAATATAAATAAAAATTATTTCAGAAGCAATGCAAACTTAAAAAATTTAATATATCTTGCAAAACGAAATACTTCACTAGATTCTAGGACGCGAACTTAAGTTTACATGTCTAAGCGTTGTTTTTTTTTTATAAATTCCTCCAAGTAACGAAGTATTATTTCAATAAAAGAAATCATTTCCAAAGTTCTTGCAAAATTACTTATACTATACTAAAAAATACTTATACTATGTATACTAAAAAACTTAAGTATTTAAAATCTCTTAAATTTAAATTGTTACACCCTGTATTTTTATATTAACAAACATATACTCGTACAAACTTAAAATACATACAAACACATTTTGTTCAATTTGAAAAGCACAAGAACATGGTACATCAACTCAACTGACTGCTTGCATGCCAGTCTGACTGACTACGAAACCACCATAAATGCCACCACCACCAAAGTCGACTTTTATCCAAATGAAATAAACATTGAAGCAACCAACCACCCACCCATTCATCCCAACACCCAAAAACCCACCATCAATGGCAACAGCCATACGAACTACAACCAACACTTATAAAAAATGATGATTACGACTATGAGTCGAGTCGAGTTGGCGAAGTTAACCTATTCACCATCGGAAGGTAAATAAAATACACACATACATATATACATTCATACTAAAACTCTGACACACACACACAGTCAAACTCACACTCACACCTACTTACGCTGGCATACAGAACAAAGACAACATTTACAGGCGAATTCAACGAACCGAAAATCAAACCAACCAACCACCCACCCATCCACCTCACTACAGACAAAGTGACTATAACGTCTAACCGTTGTACGTACGAAGCGACGGACTGTCGGGCAGTCATGACGAAGCAACGACTGACTAACCGAAACCAAAAACCATACAAAACTGAATATAAGAGATATGAATGTATTCACTTTGATATGTATGTGTGTGTTTGTTTGTGTATGCTTGTATATGTGAGGAGGTCGCAAATGGTTGTGACTCACTCACCGAAGGATACAGATGCGACTGCAGATATACAACAAGGGCAACAACAGAAACTTCAGCATCCACATCATATAATAAACCAACATCAAGCTTACACACATACCCACTCACATATACACATACACAGATATACATACAGCCATAGATACAAATGTTTATATATATGCATGTATTTACGGCATCAGCAGCAAGGACTCGTTAAACGAAAAATACAAAAACTGAAGATATTTATTCATGAGTAAAATACACATTCTACAGTGTAGACTAATACTTGCTATTACGTTGTTGTATATTCTACTCATAGAATCTCAATCTCCTTCTGTCGCTGCTGCTGTTGATGCTTCTTCATCTACATTTTTGTTTTTTTTTTTATTTCTTCTCGTATTTTTCCATCTAAGCATTTTGCAGGAAAAATGACGATGACAATATAACTAGGATAAAAGGCGCCCAAAAATTCAACCCACTCCCATCTACTGCCAGCCAACTAACAGCACAACACAACTGAATTCAACCGAACAACCAACCAACCTTTCTAGTCATCATCAACAATATCGCCTACAACCCCCAAAAGTATTTCTAAGGATTCGATATCTTTTCGTTACAATATACATAAAATATAAACACACTCATACATATACAAATTCACATAGAAATTTATCCATTTAGAGAAGCAGCAGAACCCCAAAAGTATGAGTTTTAAAGATTTTAGGAAATTTAAGAAAGTTACTATTAAACTGGGATCTTAAGCAGTGTTAACATTGAAAGGAATAGCTTTAGAGTCGCAATATATTTAAAGTGGTATATTCGGATATTTCCAATCTTATAAAACCATCATTAACGTTTTATGGGAGGCTTTGGTCAAATGTGGATCGATCCTTTAAAGTGTGATTCATTTCTTAAAACAAAAAAATTTATCGAATTTTATCATAATTTCATAATGTTAAATGATTTGTTGACAATTAACAGATTTTCTGTAAGAGGGGTAATATGGGGACATAAAAGATTTCACTTCTAATAAATTTGATTATATCGAGTTTCAGACCCATGCTGGTATGAGAATAAAATAAATTTTCCGAAGGGAACCTTACATGGGAGCTAGGTTCAAATATGATCCAATGTCAGCAATACTATACAATATAATTTCTAAAATAACTTGTGAATAACACAGGCCGACAAATTTTTAACCCAGAGACCAAAGTATAGATTAGGTTGTAACTACATCAAATCCGAAGAAATTTACTTTCGGGCCTGTTGTGTGCTCCTTTTCACGTAAAAAGATTGTTGGTAAAAACAAAAAGCTTATATAGTATTCACTAAATGTATTATCGTCCGATGTTCAGAAACGTAATTCCTAAGAATTTTCAAATCAGTGTTCGTCCTATATTCGGAATAATATCACCCCCAATGGCAAAAACAAGTGTTCCAGAGTTTTAGTGTCTTGTGTGTCCACTTAGAAAACGTACATCATACTAACCTCATTTTGAGGAGGCTTATCGTCCTGCTCTCGTTATTGTTACCCCAGAGCATCTTTCTGTTTTTACCCATCGTTTCATTATCCAAGAGACCTTATGGCGTTCTCTCATCCATATTTTTAATTCTGCCCTCATTGCGCCAAATGGTATTATGTTCGTCAGTTTAACTTTCTCGAGCGCTGAATCCGAATCTGGTTGAATCTCTCTATTACAACTGAGATTCGAGATATCGTGTCCTAAAATTAAAAAAAAAAACGCCATTTTGGCTCTTTTTGAGACGTTATAATAGTGCCAAGACAACTATATTTATAAAATGTTTTGTCGGCCTGTGAAATGTAATCACTATTGCCCCATAATGAACAACTTGTATCGGGGTTACACGAAATCGTCAACCGATATGGCCATTTCCGATATCATACAAGCCCAATATTACGGTATATTATCTATCTTTTTGAAGGAGGATATAAAAAGAAACAAATTCTAAATTGAAACCATTCCAAAGGAAATGTGTAAGTTGTTAAAAAAAGAATCTATTCTTTCAAAGTATTTTCCTGAAAGGTTTGGCTCATCTCTACCCTCTTTATTCAGCTTAGTTGAAACAAAATGTAAAAAAAAAACATAATAGCTTTAGTCGAACTGGTAACACCCTAAAGAAGGATTTTTGTTTGAGAAAGAATACTTGTTATTGGAATATTTACATAACAAATGTATGTATTTTGTCTTCTTTACTATAACAAAATATCTCCAAGAATCAATAAATTAAAATCTTTATTCTATATCATAGCTACAAACGTTATAATAATAATAACATATCCGATAAAGTATTTTACACAAACTTAAAAAGCCACTAATACCTATAGTAGTGTACTTTAAAAGACCTTTTATAAAGCATTTCCAACATCGCACTATTGTAGCTGTAGTAGCACGAATTCTATGAGTAAATGCAAAGATGACTATAATGCGAAAACTTGAGCTGTCAGATATACAGAGGGGGATAAAATAGAATAATGTTAGATTGGGTTGTAGGGGGGTATTCTTGATTAAATTTCTTGCACGATGCTACACAAAAATTGATGAAAATGAAAGAATATCTTTTCTATTCTATTCCATGTATCTTATCCTCTTATCCTTTGTGAGTTCTAATATTCGTACGTCTACACAAGTCTGTTGGACAAATGTAAACATCGTAAAAGAAAGTACAATATACGAGAAAAAATACATTATACACACATACACTTATATAAAAAAGCATATCTATTAAAGAAAAAAGCTACGAGTACAAGGAGTTCTGTTCGATGCGAGAAACAAGAACAAAAAAATCAAACGACAAGATATTTAATATGAACATTAGATCTGTTCAGAAATGTTTTCAAAGAAAGTTTTTTAACTTTGATTGGGTAGCAGGATCGTAGTAAAAAATTGTTTAAAGCTTTAAATTAAGAAGGTATTTTTTTTAATCGATATTAAATTATCAATGAATTCGCGACAAATACTTGATATTATTAACCTATAGATTTCGAATTTTTAAACAGAAAACTTTATCAAACCATCCAAGTGTAAAAAAAAAAAACTTAAGTTTTAGGGGCAGTTCTAATAAACACTCAAGCACTAAGTATAGAAGTGTGTGTATGTACTGTTAAGGATGTTCGTCAGAGATGTTTTATTATTTTACTGTAATTTTTTCCTTCGTTCATTCATTTGTTCCTTCTTTCCTCCTGTTTTTTTTTTATTATTTGTTTCAGTACTTGGTATTAGAAATGAAATGAAATATAACGGAGTAGACAAAAGATCTTTAAAAAAAGTACGTTAGAAATTTAAACAATTTAAATAAATTTATAGAACAGTTACTCATAGTTTTCAAAGTTAAATATTGGCCTTAATGAATGAAAATGCGTAAACTTTTTTTGTATAAATGTATGAGTATTTTAAAGTGTGTAAAGGAATTAGAAAATGAATAATAAAATAACGTTTTTAAGGGAAATGACACAATTTGAATAAAATATTTCGATTATTGATTTGTTAAAATAATACAAAAGTATTTGATAGTAAATGATATATGGTTACAAACAATATGGCAATTGTTACCAACTATATCGTTATATTAGACAAAGAACTACATATACATATAACACCTTGATTGTTCTGTGGACTTTTGACAAAACACTTATTTGAAAAAAGTGAATTTTACAGGAAAATAAAAAAACATTTTTAACATGACAAAAAACGTTCCAAATTTCGAAATAAGTTTATTTAATAGGTGTCATATCTTTGGATCTAGAAAGCATATATGTACGTACCCAACTAGACAGAAATATCCGCTGTTGTGTTGAAAATTGGGAAAATTGTCGTATGTTATGGTTGTTGTTGTTACAGCTAAAACTATACAATAATCTAGTTGGGGGGTTCCACATCAATGTCCAAGCCTAAAAATTGTGCTACTTCAACTGAATGTGTCCATAAATCCATTGGACAAAGAGAAGTAAGGTTGGCTGAGCAGTTGAATATGTGTTGGGGTATTGTTGGGACCTTGACCACATGCAGGACATTCATTGGGGACGGCACGCTCTATGCGTGACCAGTAGGCATTAAGCCTATTGCTCCATCCCATCAATCAAAGCTGCCGTGCACGAGGACTGATCTATTGGATCATGCATATAACTACATATGTTCTCCTCCTATATACGAAGCTTCTTCCTGACATGCCTCGGGAGAGCATCCAACAGTGTGATGTTAAAGTCGGGATGACTCCTCCGGTGACATCCCAGGAGGAACTGCTTAGCCAACATGACATTGTGTTCCTTGACTGGGAGGACTTTCGTTACACAACAACAACTTCGTTTGGATAACAATACAACGATTGTCGCATATCGAGATAAGTGGTTTTGTCAAACGTCCACATAGTTTAATTATGTAAATATTATACAAGGATTTAAAACTACACAGAAAAAACTAATACATAACTAGAATGAATTTTGTAATAAATTGTATGAATCGAACATGACTTTTTTTCCCAAACCATTTTCATTCGGAATATTAAAAGTTCATAAAATGTATGAATTTGTACATGAATGAACTTTTTGGTTTTTTTTTACTTATTTTCTTTGATTTTCATAAAAAATTGCAATAAATATCCACATTGCAATAAATATCCAATGTTCCATTTTTTTAGAAAATAAAATAATAATAATTAGCGAATTTTTATGAAAAATAAATAAAAATATTTAATTGTAGTTTATTTGACGATTTGAAGACTTATTTTTTTTTTTATTGGAACAATTCTTACATATGAAGGCCTTCAGGTTCCCTCAAGAACAATTCAACAATTTGAGAATACCCAACATTAAGTATCGAGTATTTAAAATGCAAGGAAAATAGTAATTAGATAATTTTAATAAAACTAATATGTGGAATCGTCTGAATTAGGATCAAAGTCAATTTTTTGAAAATAGATTTCGCAAAATTTTAAAAATATACTTCAAAAAATAAAAGGACTTTCTAAATTTTTTCAAAATTAAACATCTGTTAATGAAAGTAAGATTTTCGATGATATACATATATTATTATTTAAATTAAAAAATTGTGGTTTATAATTTTTTTATTATATTAATCATTCCGTCTGTCACGAAAGCAATTATAACTAAATACTGGAACACATAAATACGATAAAATACCAGAAATTCCGCCAAGGATTTAATGTATCAAAAAAGTCGAAAGATGTAAAGCCACACGTCTGTCTTTATTGATGGTTGCGCCAACTTTGTTATTAAACAATCCTCTCTTGAAGAGAGGATTTTTTCGCAATAAAATGACATAGACTGACATTTCAAATCTGCAGCCATGTTTACCCCTATTTAAGAAATGTCCAAAAATAAGTTTAAGGACAGTAATATGCACAATTTTTTAAGTAATAATATATTTAATTTATTATACCCTATACTACCTCTGTGGGGAAGGGGTATATAGGATTTGAGCTAATGTTTGTTACGCATAAAAATACCACCCAACAATCGGTACAACTACGTTTTATATAATATTAAAGGATTTTCTTATTGATCGGGCCTTAATTGACCCTATCTCCCTTTAACGCCATTAATTCCCTTAATGCCCTACAATCAGTCAAATAAGAACAATTTATTACGTTGAATTAACCTTTATATGAGCATAAATCTCTCCATCAACTTTTGATAGGATCAACATAAATATTAACAAATAGATCACATTTTAGATATACTCATAACTGGTGTAGGGAATCATATGGACTCTACTTTCTGGCCTGTTTTAATTTACGAAATTCTTACAAAAATTAAAACCATATTATGGTTACTGTAATCACATCTCTAATTGATGCAACCATATCAAAATTATTATTCGAATATTTATGTATTTGTGTGATATTTCATTCCATTTGGCTACAACTGAATTTTGCGAAAGTAGAACGAATTTTAGAGTCCACAAATTGTGTACATTGCTAGATAATCGGCAGTTAATCCTATGGACCAAATTGGATGTCCCTTCTTCATACCTTTAATGCAAAAAAAATTAACCTAATTTCACTTTCATAAGAAATATTGAAAACAAAAAAGAAACTCTTATTAAAATTCTAATTTTTAAACAAGCCTCCAGAGTTTTTAACAAGACAACCATAAAAAAGTTCACAAAAAAGTCACTCGAAGTGGCAGTGAAAATCAGTAATGAAGTACAAATAAATTAACATACATACATATTTACATCCATTCATTCATACATACATAAATACATATTTAGTTAGAATATCCATACGAGTACATTTGCAATAAAAATACAAATACGGAAAGAACTTTCCCTTTAGAAATAACCAAAAGGAAAACGATGAAATGCAACAGCTCGTTTTGTATCGCTTTTGGTACTTTGATTTTTGTTGAATTTTATTTATTTATACTTAAAATGATGACATTTTATAGCATTTTAGTGCAACATGCTTTATTTACTATAAAGATTCATCATGTGTTTTTGTAAGGATGTGCACATCTGTATGTGTAAGTGTATGTATTTTTGCGATTTTAAATAAACAAACATTTTACGAATGCTAGTGTAGTTGGTTTGGTTGATTGTATTACTCGTACATACTTGTATTGAAAGTTTTTAGCTCAGTGACCTATTTAAGTTCAGACTCAAGGATTTGCAATATCCTTCAAATAAGCGTAGAAACAACACTAGTAACGACAACAACAAAACAGCAGCAAAAACAAAAACGCCA